CAATCAATCGACCGCGTAGAGATGGAGGCCCTGATTCGCTTGGGAGGATATCAATTCAGGGTTCGATCCCTGGACCACGTGTGTGTGTTGTGCGCCACTTGCCACTACAATCTCCATACATTAATAATAGGTAGTCTCAATAATTGAATGGTACTAGTACTGAACTAAAAAATTATCACAAAAATTCTTATACTAGGTGGATCAGCAACTAGTATGTCGATGTTTTTATGTGTTTTTCGAAAAAATGTGGTTTCGATAAGGAAACCGGTGGAAGAAACCGACCGGCTAATAAAATTGGGGAAACCAGTAAGTAATACGTTATCAATGCATCATGATTGTACTGATATCACTTGTTTTGATTTGTTTTGATCTAGTAAAAACATATGACAGCGATAATAGCGACAGCAACAACATTTATTTTAATTTGTCTTGATCTCTTTCGTCCTGTCTATCTATAAATTCAAAGTCTAGAAAAATAGGTTTAGACTTGGTCCTCTCGGAAGTCGGGAGTTCTGTCCACAACTCAGCAATCCGGTGACACCTTCACTTTTACTGGGATGGGAAGAAAATTTCGATAAAGGACTGCTTTGTTCTTCTACGTGGGAGGTAACCCTGATATTCGGCTGATGGTAAAGACATAATTCACCTCAGCTAATCGTACTTTGTACGTGAACCCTTTTTATCGAGCCCTTTTGTGTTATTCGTTCCTCCTGTACAAGGAAAAAAGGAATGAGGTCCGTTTTTTCTGTTATTCAATAAAAAGAAGCAAGTCAGGTGTTGGGAGGAGCAGGCGGTGGTGCATTGTACTCACACCCTGGCACTATTCATTACCTACACTTATATTTTTTACACTGGCAAACCCGTCACGTGTACCCCTGTCCTTGGCCTTACTTGTGTAAAAGGCGAGTTAATATAGAAAAAAGACTGGCTGGTCTCTAGGTATACCTCTTTGGCGCTCTGATAGCTGTCTAGCCTGCTCATGGCTTGGAACCCTTCGTTGTCGACGGAAATGAGTTCAAGGATAAAGTCTCGGAGTGGTAATAAATCCCTTCAAAAGGATGCGCCTACGCATTCGACTTCCTTTCAGAATCGTATGAAGTGGCATTATGAACACATATGGGGCTAGTCGATGTATAAGTCCGTGATTTTATCCTCCCAAACGACTTTTTCCCAATTAGGCGACCCCGGAGGGATGGAAGTCTTGATTTCCTATCGATCCGGGATCGGATCCTATCGAAAAATTGAGCATGTGTCCATTGGAAGGCTAATGCGTGTCGATAGATTCTTACAAGGAAACCTAATTGAACTTATTTCTACGAGAAGAAGATCGAAAAAATTGGTTCTTCTTTGCTTTCCTTATCATGCTTCTTTGTTGGCGCAATGAAAGCTTTATTTGCAGACATACTGTCAATAACTGGTTGTTTGGAGGGAAATAGGACAGAATAGTGCCGAGTGAAGTTAGTACCACCTATAATTGGGGATCAAGCGTGGATTCAACACCCAATCAGATCAACCAACTCCCTTCATCTTGCCTGATTCCGACAGTGGTACCAGGCTTTTCTGAGAGCGTAAAAGCTTAGTTCCAGGCATTGATGACCTCCTGTAACTCATCCTATGGAATCCAATACCACGACGATTTCAAATGAAGGATGGAATAGGGCGTATTTCAACAGCACCAAAGAAGCCTGCAACTTCGAATATACGTATCTGTAGAAGTGCTATCCCAACCAAAAAAACTTGGTGTTCAGAATAGTCCACGATCGTCACCTTATATTTTTAAAATGGTCAACTAATCCTCTGATGAAGGTCTCGTATGACTCTCCAAGGTTGGTATTAATAGCTTCATTGGCGGCTCAAGTTTCGGCTTGTTTTTTGAGGGGTGTGGTGCAGTAGGATCGAAATTTTCGCGTTGCGGCGAGAGGGACGTCGCGCGAAGGAGTGTAGCAGAATGCAGCAGCAAGAAGAAAATACAGAAACAAGAGAACTACCATTAGAATCATGCCAAATATAGTAATCCCATCTCGATTGAGCTGTATGAAGAATGCTAGGACCGTAATAAAGTGGCGAATGGTCCGCGAGTGCCGCGCGCGGAGAATCGATTACACAAAACCGATCCTACCGCCCTTCCCTTCTTTTTGAAAGCCAGAAAGACCACTCATGCCGGAGTCAGCATCACCGCTTCTGATTTCCCTTCCTCCGAAACTTTCTTCCGTCATCTGCGGAGGTGATCGTAAATCCCAATAATCTCTTGCTACCTTAAAGGCTCCAGAGACGAACAAGCCAAATGCCACCTGCCTGTAAAGCTATTAAAATCAATCTCGGAGGCTCCAACAAGTTCCAATCAGGGCAAGACCAACTACTTGATAGGTGGTCTAAGAAATAGAAATAGACTGTAAATAGAAAGTTGACCCTGCACCCTTCCAGAGTACTTTTTACTTCCCCATTTAAAAGTTTAACGCCATTTATGATTTCTGAACGATTTTTTAACTAACAAACACGGCTGAATGACAAGAGTAGAGAAAAAAGAGCCGAAAAAATGCAACCAGGGACTTGCCTTAATTGATGATGTCGTAATGAACCGTTTCTTCCCGAAGTTCGCCATCAATCTTCTTGGCATCGCTAGGTAAACTTGCCGATACATGATCTCTGATCTTTTCTGTTTATTCTGCTGAAAAGGGATATTTTACCAAATTGGTGGAAAAGTTCAGAGTCTGGAAGAGTTTGCTGACCTCTGGACAATAGAAGGAAGGTCACAATCATAGAATGGAATGAGTTTGACAGAAGGAGGATGTTCCCTCCTTAATGCGGTACATGCCAACCGATTGGTATGGGCAGTATTTAACGACTTTCATCGATGATTCGGTTATGTTTAATGGATCAAAGTAACAAAGTACTCGATGCACTTTGTATTCACACGCTTTTTGCTTTGCCCAGTGACCGTGCGACATTCGATTGAACAACTACTACATGCGTCCGCACGTTCTCATCGAGTACAGGTAGGTATGTGAGGCCAAGGCGAGACGATCGGTGTGATAAATCACGCCCGCTCCCAAATGAGAATGATCGATTTCTTGATCGAATTAAGGAGTAATAACTGTTTCATTTGGCCTGATAATCGCCTTTGAAGAGCAAATGAAAACCAGTCAGAAAAGGATTTGTAGGAAAATGTGGGGGAGAAGGAATGAGTTCTCCAGGGAGGAAGGAATAGGTGCGGTCAAAAAGGTCCGTGGGAGGTATACTCTATGTTTATCGACTAAATGACCACATGTTCTGAAGATGATCGAGATCAGCCCTACATCAGCAAACCCTAGCCTTTAGAGGCATTCCTGAGTACCCGCTACCTCAAGTCTCTTTTGGGTATTCCTTTGCAAATGAGTCGCCGAAGGATATGGGACAATCACGGAGACCTCATTGATTATCTGGTCTATTTTCTTTTGTTCGTTTACTTATTGCCCAAAATTTTATCGGGCTAAATCAACTGGCAAACCAAGCCCTAGTCGAATTTATGTCTTTCTACCCAGTCCATTTCCGGAAAAGGCTCCAGGAAGCTTACCAAGGAGACCTCTCAGTGTCACGTTGGCGGGGTCACAGCACACAAAGTCAATAGTACGTAGATAAGAGTTCCAAGGTGTACTGAGTCGATTTCTCCTCGACCTATAAATACGGAGGGAAACGGCTGTTTCGCAAGGTTTTTAAAGGGCCATTTACGGTACAAAACCATGGAAAGGAATCTTGGCAAGACTGTAGCCAATCAACCAGCTGATGACAAATAGCTACCAAAAGAATAAATTTATTCGCTTTTTTTAGCTTCTCGAAGAACTTCGTCATATCATGTATGGTTCGACTTTTACGTAGCTCCCGCTGCCGGAGAGAGACCTTCAAGAAAAAAGTCTTACCAGGAATCAGCATCAACTAGACTGCAGTGGCCAGATTGTACACTCATTTCTTCACCATACTTCGTGTCTACAAAGGGCGGCCAATCTACTCTGCCACGTGGAGAGATGGAACCCTCGGATTCTTTCAGAACCTCCCATTGCCTTCTTATCTGTAAGCCCTTTAATCCTGAATGCTAGACGTTTTCGAAATTATTTTGACGGCCTTCCAACTAACTGAAACTATCCACGGAACAGTCTAACCACCAGTTTTTAATCCGACTGTAATCTTGACCTTCTGTTCTGTTCCTTCTTAAAGAAAAATAGAAGTTTCAGGGTTGGAACTGTGGAAATACAGTTTCAAAGGCACGGTTCACGTTGAAAATGGCCTCTAAGATTTCTCCCGGAGAAGTACCTGTGATACCTAAGGAGCCTAAGGAATGCTGTTGGATCGAAATGTGACCATGATAGGGCAATAAGCGCCCCAAAACTGTCTTAGCCGACGTACACACCTAAGGCGGACGAGTTTCCGAGCGTTTTAAAAGCTGTAGAGGTTGCACCATTCGCACCGGGACCCATATCTTGCCCGCGGGCAGCTTCCTGCAACTGTAATGATGCGCATATTTGAACAGCTCGTCCGAATACCCCTTCCATGCAACTTTTTTCGTAACATTCTCGTTCAACCCTAATTTACCTTTTTTGGGGCCTTATACTTCTCTAAGTACGCTGTTTTCGCGTTTTCTTTTGCTCTATTCTGGACTACCGTCTCCATTACTCGTCTAAAGCTAGGCAACCCAGGATTACTGTGAGCTGTGCCTTTAGTTGCTATTGTACCCTTTTATAGCACCTCACGCATAGACCCGGGAAAATTCCTGATCAATATCCGCCTAGGCTAACCAAGCCTTTCATCCCTCCGGGTTCAGTTAATTGGTACCATGATTGTATGGGAGGTGGAACTGCTGATTTGTATAATTACTGGCCACCGGATTTCATTGTATTTGCTAGATGCGCTTCAAAACGTCACTACAACTCTAAATGGAAGTCATATATCTCGGAGTAAATTAGTTCATTTTCCATTTACTTTAAATTGGCAACGTTCTTTGATGGGATGGAGTTTATTTACCTGTTTATTCATTCGAGTAGTTGTAATTATTACATTATATTAGCTCGAAGTCAATGGCAAACATCAGAGTTTTGAAGCTGCGAGGGGTGCATCGATGATTGTTTGGCGCAGTGCGTATGCTCGGCGTTATTGCCTACGACACCACAAGTTCGGGTTTTCGGTGCTGTTGATGATTTCTAAACTGAGCTCCAAAGCTCCTTGAGGAAACTAAGCTGACCTGAAGCACAATGGTTCTTTTTCGCAGTTTATTATTTTCGAACCAATGAATGTCTTGGCTATTGGCCTTAAGAAGAAATGTTAAGAGGTGATTTTGGTCATCCAGCTGTAATTCTTCTACTCCACTCTTTTTTTTCTGGAAACGGTCTCTAGTACTAGTTCTGATAACCGAAGTTTTATGCTAAGTTTCATTTCCTCAATTGCAATACTGGGAAACGAGTAGGATCGCCCAGTTAACGCCTGGCTCTCGTCCTCGTCCTTCGATCTATTGTTGTTCTGCCACCTATATTCCTTACAAATTTGAACGGTCTGCTCCAATAGGAGGAGAGTTATGGACTTTCGGCAAAACATACACACACTGACAAACTTCTTGCACGCCCCTCCTACCGTGGGCGGAGTCCTGCACAAGCCATGTGCCTCCAGTTATCTTACTTCATTTTCCACTCACTCCAACTAGTTCATTCTCCACTTACTCCAACCTGGCTACGTTTTTTGTTCAGATTACGCTTTTTTCGCACCCACTCCACCAACCCTTCACCTTTCTCTTCCTTCTACTCCCCTCCCCTCCCTGCCTCACCTCAGCTCAGTCTCTTTCTACCTACTGTCGGTGTCTTGATCCTGCTGTCTGTATATCTTTCAAACNCATGGTCCGCCCTCCTGTGAGCAGAGTCCAGTTCTGCCTTCTACCATTGGTTTTCCCATCTTAATTTAGAAAGTTCTCATCCATGGGCGCAGGAGTTATGACTTTGCGGTCAAAATTATTATCGAAATCGATATATTGTTCTTCGTCCGGACAGTACGAAGGACATCACAAAATTATCGAAAGAAAATACCCAAAATTGAACGATTAGGACAATTTTGAAAGGGGGCTCTCAAGGAAAGAAGAACAGCATAATCAGAGCAGTGCAATTGTCATGCGATACTTGTTGACGCCTACAGCCAACATGATTACTGAAATCGATCTATTGCTCCTGTTCTAAGCCTCTACTTCTTAGTACTGGCGATCAATATAACACATTTTTCTTATGAGGAAGATCTCGGAATTTGATTGCATGCCCATTTGCCATGAAGAAATTCTGTTACAGTTACATCCACATCTTCCCTTCTATAATGGCCTACTTTCCTCGAACTCGCTCACACGGGAGGAGTCCAACTCATGTTATGCATGGGTGATCGACTTCACTTATCCCCTACCTATTCAAACTTCAGTGCGTGGCTTTACTGAGGTAACGTTCGTTCGGTTCGTGCCCGCTCCTTCCCTGTTGTCGGGTTTTAATCCTGCTACCTGGGATCGATGTTCCCATCCTATCGCCTGCATTCCTACCAAATTTTGGGGGCCTAAGGCCCGAAGGAATAGAAGTCGTGAATTCCTGATCAAACACCCACATCCACCCACACACTGCCACACAAGTACACAGACACACTTGACGATTATATAAAGTAGGGTGGTGGTTTTTACTGCCACTTACCCATTAGTCGGGTGAAGGACGTTCTCAAGAAAAGACGCGAAAAAAACTTCACGGAGACAACTGATTTGCTAATTTAATTACTACGGTAAGAATTTACAGTAATCCCTTCGATTTCGGCACGTAATCTCCGTAATGTCCCGTTCCTAAGTATGAAGTTCACAAATTCGGACTCATACGGGAACTAAAGGAAAGTTGCTAAAACCAGTGCAGTTATCTTCCAGGTGCCTGTATGTTTTGAATAATCTTTATTAAGACATTATTACTAATATTATTTACTGGCGTTAATTATTATGCCACTCAAATACCCGATCAAGAGAGTGAATCCGAAAAAGGTAAACAAAAGTATAAAAACATCAACAGTCACTCTATTGCTATAATACCCGCATTAAAATAAGAGATAAGAGAAAATCACGAAGTAAAGGCTTCTAAAAGTTTAAATTGGAAAATTTCAGTGCATCGGTTGAAAATCAGAAATATACAAGTTTTCTGTGGAGTAGAGCGAACATCGGTCCATAGGCGAGGTGCTCGGAAATCCGATCGTTGGGCCAAATTGTAATGGTAGTGTAGTCTGACGGAAAACTGAAATCAGAAATTATTATTATTGTTTACTGCAAAAAATCAATCCGTATACTATGAAGTATAAAGGATAAAGTCTGCTGGTGTTAATCAATCCTGTATGATCCCGTATGAGGAATGCGCCCAGCATTCTACTTCTTTTAGAATCGTAATGGTGTTTTGAATGTGTATGTTTCTTATACAACGAATTGCTGTACCCAGCCGATGAACAGGTCAGTACTTTTATCCTCCCAGATCAGCAGGTATTCGATCCATCGATCCCGGGGGATGGAAGGCGTTTTTGGTATAGGCGAGTATCGATCAGGGATTTGAACCGTGGGTCATGTATGTTGATGGTGCGCCACTTGCCACTACACGATCACCGCCTTAAGGCACTACAGATGTTTTTGATTCCTTTCAGTACTTGTTGCATAGTTTTAAGCACTTCGAGTTGAATAAATAGTTAAAAGTCATAGATAAACAAATAATCAAATGAATAAGCAAACAAAGAAAGAGAAACAAAGGTATTATAGTTTACCGTAAGGATCGCAAGGATGTTCAGCTTCAAACAGTACGGCATCGACATCATCCACGGACAGTTCAGGGAGCTCAGAAAGCCTTCAATTCCAACTCATAAAAACTGATTACCTACAGGATTGAAAAGAACAATGGGCTAGTCACTTACTCATTAAAGGTTATACCAGTTGGAGCAGCAGTTGTGGGACTGCTACTGCAGTAAAAAGTGTTGTCGTGGGAAGGATTCTGAAATATTTCCGATTTCAGTTCGATGACGAAAGACAACTGAATAGCGACGGTTACTAAAAAATCAGTAGAAGCAATGGGTTGGCGCTCTTACCTGGGGGTGTCCCTTCTTGTACCTAATGCCGAGTTCTAGGGATGCTGCAGTTGAATTGTTTTGGGTTGGAGAAATTCCTGCAAAATGAAAAACGGGCCATCCTTCTGTAGTTTTTTTTATTTATGAAAAACAATCCTAATGGAAAGGGTATAAGAAAATTATTAAGGGAAAATGAAGACTGACTTGACTTCTCTTTCAGAGCTGACACTGCTGCTTGTGAGGTCTTCTTTGTCTTAGCCATTTTCTGAAGCTGCCATTCTAGGAATTTAGGCGAGATCAGAGGGATCCTTAAAAAACATTGGGCTACAATCAGGCTTCAACCTTCCAGAATCATGATCACTCGATAAACTCACTCGTGAGCAGCATAATCTGGAAAAACATGATAGCTACCAGTAGATACTCGACTCAGAATTCGTATCGGTTTTCCAGAAATTGAAGGTACACGTTTGTTACAGACAGCCTTCAGTTGACAGACAACGGAGATATACGATCTCTGAAACTGAACTTGAAGACTTCTGTGTATTGGAGTAGAATAGGGGAAGAATTCTGTAAATTAGAAATCGGGGGCCATCCGAGGGAGAAGCTTAATTTCCGTTTGGCAGTTACCCTATATGTAAAAAGAATCTCCAAAAAGTCGTTAGAGTCGAATATACATCGTAAGCCTTACCTGCTGTCTAGACTGCTCGCTCCACATTTGTACTACGCCCTCCCTGTCGATTATGTCGAACACCGAAGAGTTCCCTCCGCACCAATTAATAACATTTTTATGACGGTTGTCGCTCAGTAGATCCACAAGAAGGTGAAGAAGAGGTGAGCGACAGCATCCTGAAGCAGCGCCACAAAATTGATGGTACAGAAAGCACCAGAATACAAACGAATCACGGTGTATCTTATAGTGAAGCAGTAAATTTTGCTAAACGGATACCCATGTCAAATTGGTTACTAAGTTTATTCGTTTTCTTGGGCGTACACCGCGCCATGGAAGGACGACACTGGTTCCTACATTGATTGCAGCTTCAGCTTCGTTGAGAGGAAGTGGATCCGTCAGAAAGGCCCTCTATTCTATCAGGGTTACTCGTTAGTGATCCATATGAATACGTCAGCAAATGATTCGGTCTTTACACTCAGCTTCTCTCCTTCCGACGCAACTTTTAGGTAGGAAAGTCATTCAAGACTCTCAAAAATTCTACTAAGACTCGAAGGAGCTGACCCTACCGTATGATAGTGAACTCCACTTCAATTTCCGTTGACTTCATTTTAAAAAAATGTTAGGGTAAATAAAAGTAAAGGAAGAGCCGGAACATGGAACTTTACAAGCAAGTGAAAATCTGTTGAGCTGACCTTTCAGTAAACCCAATTTCATTTGGCGTGCGAACTCATAAGATTGTTGTCCATTTGGCAGCTTCACCGTCTCAAACCATCGATTACTCTGAAATGCGAGAATGTCGTTGGTGGAATCATAGGGTCAAGAGTTAATGGATATTTTCAGCAGCTTTTAATGGTGACCCTCGCAATTTTGTGCTCAAAACGGTTTCGCCCATCATAGCCATTCTTTCCTCCACGACTTTCAGGAAAAAGACGCTTTACGTACTGGGGGTCGATGCCTTACTAACGAAAACTGTATTTTTAACGTTTTTGGCTACTTTTTTTGACAATTCAGGAGAACTTTTCCTTTTTTATCCCTTTAGTACCCTATTTTCAACTGTTTTTTGTTTGAGCAAGAAGGAGTATACAAGGTTGCTCATAAAGAAGCTTTAAGGAAGTCAATGAAAGGTAGAATCTATGCATTGAAAAAATTCAAGCAAAATGGATTTTCTGGAATTCTACAGTATTCAACCTGATCTTTCCACTATCGGTAAGATGTGAATAAAATTTTTGAAAATGAACCAAATGAAAGTAAAAAAAATAAAATATTTACAAACCAAAGTGTAGAGTGCATCTTCTGCCATCTGTAGTGAGAACATGACGTCTACTCGTGATACGTTAAGAGCAATGAGTAATCATAGAATGCTACTGTTATTTGACCTCCTTCTAGTATTACCAGGAGCCTCGCCCCAGGGAGGGTCAATTGGTACCGACCTTGTTGACCTTGCTACTTTGCATACTCTCGTTTGATGTCCAGCAGCGATGACCCATTAATATCACCGCGCCATGTTCCGGTCTACGTGCGATTCTATCGTCGTGATAATAAGGTCATGCCACAAAGTGTGGCTTACAGTGGCTTTACGAGACGAGGGTGAAGCCTAATTCTATGGTAACAACCTAACGATTGAGTGGTTACGTATGCATCAGAAAATGAATTGCGAGTTTAAGGGTCGAAGGTCAAAAACATGTCCGAATAATAAGTTTGCTACGAACTAAAAGACCAAAAGAAGAAAAATCTAAAGACTCAAAAGAGAATCCAAGATTCTTTTTGAAGTCCTACTGCTGAGGTGTCGTTGGATGCTCCCGATAAGGGGTGTAAATTTCAATCGTAATGGGTGGCAGGTTGCGAGGGTGCGGATTTACCCCACTATCTTGGCGATAGAATCGCAACACTCTCCTGGTGTTGCGATTCTATCGCCAAGATAGTGGGGTAAAGCCCTAGTACTGGTCCTAAACGCAGTTAGAGGAAAGTGTTCAACGTGTTAGTGACTCGGAAGCATCGGGAAAGACCCCCAGAATCTCCTGATAATGATACGGACCCTTCCTACTCCTCCAATCACAGGGTATAGAAATTAAGGATCAAGGGGACCAGATTATGTTGTGTTATACTATACATATGCAAACATAGTAAACAGTTCCCATCAGTTACATTATGTCGGTAGTTATTATAGTCTTTGGTTATTTAATTTATTAATTTTTTTATTGGTCCCATGTATTTTCACTAGAGTACAAAACTGGGCAAACATTGTTCCTCCCTTTTTCAAATAAGGGTAAAACCGCAAAAATTGCAGAAATACCTTGTAAAGAGCCGCTTTGCGTTCGGAATAATCCCGTAATTTCACTTACTGAACCAATTAAAGTCATCAAACAGTATGCTTCAGGTGTCAACTATTCACCAAGGAACTTCTGATATATGCTCAGTATGATTCATCACAAGCGGAACTGCGGCAGGCATCAAACCTCCGACGGCGGTGACGACAACAGCGCACACATGCACTGCACCATCGGAACGGATGGGTAGGTAACGACACCTACATCTACGCATCTAGACCATTTCAGAACTTAGTTCAATTAGTTTGAAATTATGGCTTCGAAGGATAACCATAAGTGGGATAGGAGCAGCTGTTCTGGCAGACGCTCATTGAAACCGAAACAATTTCCGAGCTGCCACACATTTCACGTTGGTTGGATTGTGTTTCGGCTCCAGATGTTCACGAGGAGGTATAGGAACGCTATGAAGTGTGTAAATTTACCAACCGACAGCTTTAATACTTCAGATTCAATGCCTGACCTTCTTTCAAGGTACTTCGACCAAGTCCCAGAAGCAACTATTGAGACTCTTAGAAATTCTGAAACCGCCACCTAAAAATTAGTAGATTGCTGTACCACTGATACTCTGGTGAGTTTGCTGCACAAATTTTTGACCTTTTTTTAACTTTATTTGGATTTTTGGGCTCAGTTTTTATAGATCCCTGGTTCCTATGCTGAACTTTTTCTTCCCTTTTTCTAAATTGTGGAATCCGTTTGAAAATTAACTCCGTAGGTGTCCCAGGACGCCATGGTCCTGATTAGGAAGAAACACTTCTTGAGGAGATGTACCAGTAATAAATATTGAAAAGTTCCTGAATTTTTGCAGTAATGTATGAGTAAGTTGATGTGGATGCTTGTTTTATGGTGTCACCCAGAGAAAAGCTCCGTACTTAATTACTTTGAACTCCTTCTGGACGTTCCCCAGTTGTTTGTCCTTTGACACGTGTATGTTTTCACAAATACGATCCCGTGCCTCATAATTTACGTCGCAACCTATTCTCGTTTGCAGTGACATAATTCCTTTTTATGTGATTTGAGCTTTACTTTTTGAAATTAACTGATTTTTGTTTTTATTTCATGAATCATTCTAGGTTTTTTTTCAGTCAGCAGTAATTATTCTTGATAGATACCAAATTTCCTGACAAATAGACAAGGAGAAGGAATCGTGGAAACTTCTATGACTCAGAAGTTTGGGGAAAATGAAACTGAACTATGATCTTGAAATAACAACGTCATACGGGAGGAGCAAACACTTCGTCGCAATGGCTTTTTGACATCAGTCCACTTAGCAAATGCATCGCCACCGGCCTGAATGAGCTCAAGAGGTCCGTATTTCAGGCGTTCCCAACGACTTCCACATTTCGAGGTCTATTTTCATTGCAAGGCAAATGACTCATTAGCACAGTCACCGATCTCGCTTTCGATATGACCTTTCGTCTATTTTTCTACTTCCTAACACTTTTTTCCTCATCCGGGTTTGGGCTCTAATCGGTATCGCCCATGTAGTTTTTTTATGTTGTCTTCCTGCCGTTTGTTTACCTTTTCATATAAGGAATCGTCGTTTTCGCTTGATTTAAATTCTGAAAACTTTTCCCAATATTTTTTACCACTTGCTTTTTATTTACTTTATTCAGTGCTTGTCCACCTAACTTTTAATTCAATCTTCATTTACTTATTTACCCTCTTTTCACACGCCATTGTCAGTTAGCTGCCTGTGGTTCCTTTCGAGGGATGGGAGGAGGGGTTGGCATCACTTTTAGGGAATTTTTCGCGTACTGATGGCAGCCCAAATTCTGTTTTTTTCTCGTTACCCTGTTGCCGAGCAGTTGCTTCGAAATTTCCAAGAGTAGATGGAAAGGCATCAGCTGGGCTGTGTTGTACATGATGTCATTGCTATGTTCGAAATTTGTTACACTACTGTAAGACTTCCTAATATTTTTGTTGTCTAGGTAAATATTAACATTTCCTGAATGTTCTCAACTAGGAAACTCCCAAACAGGATTGTAAAAACCTATTCGGCAAACGTTCCACCTTAGTCAGCGCCTAGAATTTGATGATGAGCAAAATTCACTTGTTTTGGATTGATTCCAAACGTGAACAGAAGATTTCTTGACCAGATGTCCTAACATGCTGAATAAATTTGAGGGATCCATACAGAAACTCAAATGAGCTCATTTTTGAGTCGTGATGGGATCAGGTTGCCCTTACCCTCGCTAGAAATGCCCCCATGAAATTCCGAAAATGTCCCAGCTCGTTCAATACAGCTCGGTTTTCGTTTTTCCAATCATTTCAAAGGGTTTCACGATAATCTGAAAGAGGTTCGATGTTTCCGTCATCCAGAGCCAGGGATTGAGAAGGTGTGCGGCGGCAACCCCGATCCTCTCGCGGTGCGTGGCAGCTGCTGACTAGTTGTCTCACTGCGCCCCATGTCGTCTAACCATAAGGCCCATACCTCAAGAAGGAGATTTCGCGTCAAAACACTTTCTGCTCGATTTCCATATCATATCATATCTTGCACCTTCATGACATTGGCTTTGATAACACGAACACTTCGTTCGTTTCGTGAAAACGAGGAACTCACTAACGGCGATCTGATAAAACTGGATCTGCCAGTTCTTAGCGTAGTTT